AACACGTGGGCACTGCCTTGCTCAGAGCAGACCCTCAGAGAGTGACAGCTGCTGCCTGTTGTCACAGGAATGCCTGGGATGTGGGCCATGGCACTAGTGATTCAGAGACCTGCTAATGTCTGTCCATATTGTCACAGCCCCTAGAGAAGGACATGGCAAGGGCTCAAGTGCTCCCATACATTCCTCAACAATATTCCTGAGGGCAAACCTAATAAAAGGTTCATTTCCCCTTATCTCCTATGCATTCCCAATAAGTAGCTTCAGGGGATCCTTGATTTAGTCTACGCCCAATCAACTGAAAGATGCAAATCTCCGTTTACTCCCTTTTTCTGAGTGGTTATAAGTTTGAATAATATAGTATCAATGTCATCATAAGTCTTATGATTTGTATAACTTTTGTTATCAATGTAATCATAAGTTTTGTGATTTGTAAAATTTTTGCATAACACGTTATCTTAGGCCTTCTGAATTCCCTTTACTCTGTGGCAAACTTGATTAATGCTTCTGTTGGGCCCTACTGATAAAAGCTATGAGATACCTCTGATACCTGGCACCAGGAGGTCTGGACCGAAAAATGTCACTATTGATAAATGCAGCTGAAACTCAAGTTCTACACCATGCTCCTCAGGTCACGTGGCTGATGTATAGGTACTAACAACTCTGGACTTATAAAAGTAAACTGTAAAAGCCTGAAGGGTGAGTAGGACCATTTTAGAAGGACCTCAAGTCTGGCTCTGCTACCTGGATTCGAACTCAGAAATAAACTTCTTTCTACCAGTTCCCCGCCCCTTTGATTTATCGGTATCAAGGGGAGAAGTCGAGCATTCCTCGGCCATAACACTAGCAAACGTGTCTTTCGTGGATACACATGACATGTGCCGTGATGCTCCTGGGAATGGTATCTGGCATGCAGGAAGCATAAAACAGTGAGATAAAATACAAGTACAGTGTAAGGAAGAACCAATCCCTGTCCCGGGGACAGTCCCGGTGTATCTGGATTCCAGTGTTTAACACCTTTGACACCTGAGATGCGCAGCTCATGGACAGGGTCTGTCCTCAGGAGCTCACTGTGCACGGAGAAGCTGGCCAGAAGACAGTGTTAAGGAAGAGAGGGACTTCGGGCGTCCCCCGCAGGCACGTTGGTGCTCACCCACCCTCCCCATCACTCCCTCTTTGTCCCACCCCGACTGTCTACTTGTACCCCAATGCCACTTAAAAACTGGCGCTGTCCAAGTCTGCACTCCACACCCGGAGAGGCATCACCAGGCAGGTGAGGGCTGGTTGGCGGAGACTGTTCCCCATCTGCCCCCAGTCTTGCTGAGTGGCCCTGTGTAGGTTACTGTCTCCCTGTCACATCTACAGGAGCAGTCTGGTCAGGCAAGCCTGGTTCCCGAAGCTCCAGGACACTGCCCCTGGCCTTCCCGACTGGTGCTCCTCAAGGGAGCTCCTCAGTTCATTCAGACCATCTCACACTAGACCTCTGGAAACGCTCTGTTCTTCCCCTCCAGCTTTGCGCTTTCCTCTCTCCCCTCTTGTTCCTTCTCCCCTCCCCCCACCTCCCAAGACACTCCCTAGCCCATTTCTCTGAGACTTTTCATGTCCTGGAAGGGGAGTCTTCTCCCCTCTCTAGGTTGAAGACAGCACCACCCGGTCTCTCCAGCAACTGTCACTTTCCATACAGGTACTGAAAACACAGGCTGCCCCAAACCGACCTCCTCATCGCCCTGCTTGCTCCCCAGATCTACCTCTGCTCCACGGAACCACCGTTGACTCGGACCCAGCCAGGAGCCAGAGGGGTCAGCCTGCCTCCTCCTCCTTCCATGGCCCCCTGGAGCCGAGTCCTTCGGTTCCACTTCCCAAGTGTCCATTGAATCCTGTCTGGTCCATGCTCCTGTCTGGTCCTGTTAACCCTGCCTTGGTTTGGGCTACCCCACCCCTGACCCAGACACAGGCCAGGAGGCCTCCTAACTGGGCTCTTTGTGATTCAAACCACCCCCACTGTAGCCCAGAGGCTCTTGGGCTGACCTTGCCACTTCCCTGCCTACCATGCTAAGGAGGATAAGAGGCATCCCCTGCTCTCACTTTGTTTCAACCAGCAACACTCACGGGCTCTCAGTACCGGGGGCACTGCTGGTCTTCCAAGACCAGTTCACATCCCATCTCACTCATTCATTCACTCAATAAACTAAATACCAGGGACTATGCTAGGTGTTTACAGACATTATATCATTTGCTCTTCACAACAGTGCCCTAGGGTCACAACTATTATCTTTTCTTTTTTTGTGTGTGTGTGTTGACGTCTTACTCTGTCACCCAGACTGGAGTGCAGTGGCACGCTCCCGGCCACGACCTGCTGGGCTCCGGCGATCCTTCCGCCTCAGCCTTCCAAGTAGCCGGAACTACAGGCGCGTGCTACCACGCCCGGCTAATTTTTTGGTTTATTGTAGAGATGAGGTCTTGCCAAGTTGCCCGGGCGGTTCTCGAACCCGCGGGCCTCCCAAAGTGCTGGGATTACAGACTGAGCCACCAAGCCCGGCCTCACAACTATTATCATTTCCATCTTGCTAGAGAGAAAGCTGACACTCAGGGAGGAAGTTCTCAAGAATGCCTGGTGAGTTCTCAGGGACAGGGTTTTCACAGGTCTCTGATCCACTCCCTGCCACAAGGAAAAACTTCATGGAGAACGCAAAGCCTTGGTGGTAAAAGGGTAGCTTCCCAGGCACGGGCCAGGCTGCCTGGGGCCTCTGTGTGACACTGGAACACTGCCTGGGGCCTCTGTGTGACCGTGGCCTAGGACCAGGACTGCAACAGTAGGAAGGAGAGGAAGCTAAGGAGGACAGCTTCCCTTTCGGTGCTGGTCCCTCCCATGCCACAGACCCCATCCTGCAGGACACAGGATGCCAATCCCCCCTTCAAGTTATCTGGGGAATAACCCAGAAGAGGGGCCACAGAACCAATCCCTCCTTCTTCCCAATTTACAGATGGGAAGACAGAGACCTCTCCCAACACCTCATCCTATGAAAGCCAGAATGAAAACTCGGGTCTCCTAGAAGTCTTTCTCAAGGATCTCTAACATCCCATGGTGGGAGATGGGAACCCGCCTGGGTTTGGACTGGCCTCCCACTCACCATCTGTGCAAGTCGGAGGTCACTTACGTATGTGGTCTCATCTGTAAAATGGGTAGAGTAACACGAGCCTCAGAGGGCTGCCGAGAGCTTCGATGAGTAACATACATACACAAAGCACACAGAAGGTGCTCAGCCAACTTCAAGGGCAACTATGTGGTCCTCAGAGGACTTACAACTGCCTCCCACTCAGCCCCGCCCCCGACGCCTACACACACAAAGGGCAGAAGGAAAAAAGCCTTAGAACACCTACAGGTGAGGGCTATGGGGATTCCCGGCGGGGGCGTGTTTCTTCCCGCCATCACCTGTTCGATGACTGGACTGCACAAAGGGAAAGCAAGAAGGCCGAGGACAAGGGAGAAGATGGCTGATCGGGGGTATCCCTCGCTACTTTCCAGCGTCCGGGAACCCCGCCCTTCCTCCACGCAGGGATGGGGCCAAAGGGCTCCTTCCAAAGAC